GCTGGATGTTATTAGTGTATAACATATCTTATAAATTAACACAACTGTTTTAGCTATGTTCTTTGTATATCTGAGAGAAAAGGCATTCTTAATGGATGAAAAGGGGAATTGTTTTAAATTTAGCTTAATGCTTGTATTATGTTACTTGTTTTCCCAAAATTACACAAGAATCATTCATGTAAGGCTCTAACGGTCCCTGCCCTAAGCTGTTTCTGATTGGTAAACAAAGTTCCTGTCAGACAGTGGCTGGACAGGGAAACAGAGGCAGGACGGTAGGATTCATGAGCAAGAGGACCTAGAAAAGGTTAGGATCGCCATGTTAGGAAAGGGATAAGAGACAGGCTTGAAAGCTGTAGAATACAGAGTACCAAACATGTAAGAGCTGTGGAAGAGTGGCTCCAGGGCCCCCTCACCCCCAATTTGATCTAGGGTAACAAAGATAAAACATAAATTTAGTAACTCAGGAGTATAAAAGGAGAGTCATTAGTGATGTGGAACTTTGGGGTGGCCCAGTCATTGAACTGATTAAGATATATTTAATATTAGGCTCCGTGTGTGTGTGTGTGTGTGTGTGTGTGTGTGTGTGTGTGTGTGATTCAGGAATCCACAACATTGGTATGGGTAGTAGTGAGGAATTCATGTCACCTCCAGGGTGATCTTAGATAGCACTAATTGCCTACAACAACAAGAAGAAGATATATACATAAAATCTCACAAGCATAACTGCCCAAACAAGAACTGAGCCGGGACAACAACAATGGGCATGACAAAGTAGATGGGGGAAAGCCCATGAGGCCTCAATCCCTACACAGTGTAGACAGCCTTGGAGACATATATGTAAGTGGCATGATATAGATTGAGTAGGTTATACTTAGGAATATATAAGTGTACCAATTATGCATATATTATACATATTCATTATATATACAATAAAATTAATGAAGTGAAAAGCTGAGAATTTAAAAGAGGGCAGGGAAGAATATATGGGATTATTTGGCAGTAGGAAGCATGTTATAATTATACTATTATCTCAAAAATTTTAAAGTACAAAAAAAAGCGCAGGACAACAACAACAAAACAAATGAAGGAACAAAAACAACAAACCCAAAGAAAAACTCAAACAAACAAAAAAGTTTTTAAACCTATCAGTAAAAGGCAGACAAGGATTTCTTTAAGCTACCACGCTGCCCTAGCTACAATGGCCATCTTCAAAAACAGAATAACTACTGTTGACATTTAAGTGAGAGAAGGAATTCAAATACTGCTGTAGGAATGAGAACTAGAGTATCTACTTTGAAAATCATTGTATATATTCTCAAAAAAAAAAAAAAAGAAGAAGAGAAAGAAAGTGTTAGAGGTTGATTCTAATGCTTTGATTCAATAGGAAAGCTGTATGTCCAAACACTAATGATCCTTGTCCCTAATTGGTTTTTGATTAATCAATAAAGATTACAATGGCCAATGAGTAGGTACGGGGCTGGACCCTTAGAGTTGGACAGACTAGGATATAGGGGTGGGGAGAAAAAAGAGGATCGCCATGATGCATCAGATCTAGACCTGCAGGAGAGAGAGAGAGTGCGCGCCAAGAAGCCATCTAAGAATTTGGGTAAGTGGCCACAGGGCCACTGTCCTGATTGAGCCAGGGGAAGGTTTAGGAGTGGCCAGCCTTTGAGGTTGCCAAGGTATTTTAAAATTAATGGTGTGTGTGTGTGTGTGTGTGTGTCCCATTCACTAATCCAGATAGCTCCTGGGCAGGTGGACACATGCGATCTGCTGGGAGCCAAAGTGGTATAGCCCAAACTCAGCTCTACAGGAAAGAAATAAAGAGAGAAAGAAGCAAAGAAATCTGGATGACACACTTATAGACCTAAGTATGGCATCATTCCTCTAGAAACAAAGACACCCATCTACTTATTCCACATGAGAAACCAATGAAAAATCAATGTTGTGAACAAACAAACTGCAACTTGGTAAGTGAATGTGGTTTCATTTTTAGAGGTGTTTTGTTTGTTTGTTTGTTTTGTTTTTGTTTTTGCATGGATGTGTGTGTTCCTGGTGCTCACAGAGGCCAGAAGAGGGCATTGGATGTCTTGATGGTGAGGTTAAAGAGTGTGCTGGGAACTCAAAGTGAGTCTTTGAAAGAGCAGTGTTCTCAACCACTGAGTCATCTCTAATTCTCAGTGGACTAGTGAGTTTTAATGGAATGAGATACAAGAGTGTGGATGAGGGGCGACTGATAGAAGCATGAAGGACTAAATGACAGCTGTGTCACCCAGTGAAGGTGATGGTTAATGAAGTTGCAAATATGAGGAACACTGCACAGCTTACAGGCAACTCACCTGAGGAGAGAAGTCTTTCAAGCCACTCACTACCTCCAACAAGCAACTTATCTCCTCCGGTCCAGGCAGCTTGACTGGTGACTACTTTATAGCTGGTCTGAGCATCTTCTAGGAAGCTCATTATGTGTGACAATGTCAGAGTCCTTACTGACTATATATGCTTGAGGCAGAAGCACAGTAGAGAATTTTGCTAGTTTCTGGGACTTCCTGAAGCTATGAAGTCATAGATTTCTGAGCTTCTGGTGATTCGCTGTAGGATTGAATGTATCACCTCACATTAGAACATCCTGTTCCTTTACTTCTCCTTTAACATCCTGTGTTTTAAGGAGCTTCCTCCAAGTTGGAAGGTTTAATCTCAGAGGAAACTGATACACAACAAACTCTCCCAGGCAGGACCTCCAAGAACTCTCCATCTTTACCAAGGAGCACTTGCCCATCATGTTCATTGTACCGTTATTCACAGTATCTAGGCAATGGAGTCAACTCAGCTGTCACATGTGGAAATGAAAGTGTAATACTTATCCACAAAGTATGCTATTCAGATATAAATAAAAATGAAAGTGTGAAATTTAGATGTAAATGTAGCTACATGGAAATTAGGATGAGTGCTGCTTCCTAGGCCACAAGTCAAACATCCCATGATTCTCAAATGTTGGGTGTTCTAGTGATAGTTCATGCAGAAGATATGGAGCTAGAAATCCATGAGTAGTGGAGAGATTCAGGGAGGGGAAAAGAAGGTGGATATTAGAATGGAGGTGATATGAAAATAGAGTTGGAATGCTGAGTGCATGATTCCAATATGTAGTGGAGTGATGGGGAATTCAGGGGGCTGCTGAAGCTCAACTCAAATGAGATGTCCATGAATAAGCTACATGGAAACCTATTATTTTGCGTGCAAGTAAAAAAATGTAATAAGAGGGGATAGGAGAACACATGTGCTATAAAAAGAATCCCTGGGGCATTGGACAATGTGTAATATGTGTTTAACTCAAGATGGGGGCAGGAAGAAAGAAAGAACAGTGGGTAGATTAACCAAAAAGAACTCTTTATGAAGAATCCTTATGAAACTGCAGTATTTAAAAAGTAAATAGGAAAAATGGTTTTTAAAGATCTTGAGCAGTGATGTCACACACAGGTAAAGTTGCTCCCAGATCCCAGGAGTATTAAACGTAACTTGCTGTAGCAGACCCTGGTATCTTCTTAGGAATTTCTGCTCATGGAGGCACCCAAACTAAAACAGGTTATTGTTAGAGCTCTTGCATGGCCACCCTATGCACATGGTGTTTACTGAAGACACCAAACATTTCAGTTACAAGATACATAGAGAACAATCTTGAACTTACTAGGAAACTCTCCCAACAGGCTAACTTTGTAGCACTGCAATGTCTTGTGCAAGTTGCTGGCAGAGAAATGATGTCTTATTTAGCCCTGGACAATGCATCCTACAGTACCATAGTATTAGCCAAAATGTGTGCACTGATATAACTCTGGTACTATTGTGTATGGGTATAACCATTCTACATATCTAAAGGAAATACAGAGACAAAGTGGAGCAGAGACTGAAGGAAAGGCCATTCAGAGACTGTCCCACCTGGGGATCCATCCCATATGCAGCCACCAAACCCAGGTACTATTGCTGATGCCAAGAACTGCTTGCTGACAGGAGCCTGGTATAGCTGTCTCCTGAGATTCTCTACCAGAGTCTGACCAATACAGATGCAGATACTTGTAGCCAACCATCGGACTGAACATGGGTACCTCAATGGAGGAGTTAGAGAAAGGACTGAAGGAGCTGAAGGGGTTGGTAACCCCATAGGAAGAACAACAACATCAACCAACTAGGACCCCCCCCCAGAGCTCCCCAGGGACTAAACCACCAACCAAAGAGTACACATGGAGGAACCCATGGCTCCAGCTGCATATATGTAGCAGAGGATGGCCTTATCTGGCATCAAAGGGAGGGGAGGCCCTTGGTCCTGTGAAGGCTCGATGCTCCAGTGTCGGGGAATGCTAGGGGGGGTGAGGTGGGAGTAGGTGAGTGGGGGGGGAAGCAGGGGGAGATGGGATGGGGGCTTGAGGAGGGGAAATCAGGAAGGAAGATAACATTTGACATGTAAATAAATAAAATAACCAAAAAAGGATCAAAAATTAGTAAGAATACATGAAACTGAAAAAATAAAATAAAATAAAATGTGAATACAGATAAAAAAAGAAGAGCAAGACATGGAGATCACATATGACATATCTTTATATGATTTACCAGAAGTATGAACTTTGTGAATCACAGCAAAATTAAATATGGCTTTGACACATATTTAATGACATTACATTTTGTAATTATTATTATTTTTTGAGATAGAGTAAATGTAGTTCAGGCTGCCCTGGAACTATTTAGACCAGGATGGCCACTGATTCACAAAGATCTTGCCTTTGCGTCTTGAGTGCTGGGATTAATGGTGTGTACTACTTTGCCTACAATTATGTATTTTCAAATGTTGAACAAAGGTTTTATTGCACCTTTTCCCAAGGGCTAGAGAGATAGCCTAGTGGATAAAACCTCTGGCTGTTCTTTCAGAGTATTGATTCCCAACATACACACACACACACACACACACACACACACACTTGCAGGTGGGCAGAGAGAGGGGGAGAGAGAGAAGCTCTTGACACAATAGACAAAATTTTATTTTAGCATTATTTTATGAGATCTAAAAGTTCATTAAAGGCTTTCCCATGTTTCTTATTTTAAATTTTCTTTTATGAATATAGTTAGGATTTGTAAACAGAGAGAACACTGGATAAATGCTATGTTGCATTATCTCCAGTATGAATTCTCTGATACCTTTTAAGATGCGAGTCCTGGGCATAAGATTTGTCATATTCAATACATTTTTAAGGTTTCTCTCCAGTATGAACTCTCTGATGTGCTCTAAGATTTGAGTTATGAGTAAAAGTCTTGTCACATTCCATACATTTGTAAGGTTTCTCTCCAGTATGAAGTTTCTGATGTCTTCTGAGATTTAAAATCTGATTAAATGATATGTCACAGTCTCTGCATTTGTAAGGTTTCTCTCCAGTATGAATTTTCTGATGTTCTCTAAGGTGAGAACACCTAGTAAAAGATTTGTCACATTCTGTACATCTGTAAGGTCTCTCTCCAGTATGAACACTTTGATGTGTTCTAAGATGTGAGGCCTGTGTAAAGGATTTATCACATTCTATACATTTGTAAGGTTTCTCTCCAGTATGAATTTTCTGATGTGCTTTTAGAGTTGAACAGCTAGTAAAAGTTTTGTCACATTCCTCACATCTGTAAGGTCTCTCTCCAGTATGAACTCTGTGATGTGTTCTAAGATGTGAGTCCTGAGTAAAAGATTTGTCACATTCCCTACATTTGTAAGGTTTCTCTCCTGTATGAATTTTCTGATGTGTTCTAAGAGTTGAGCATGTAGTAAAAGATTTGCCACATTCCTTACATTCATAAGGTCTCTCTCCAGTATGAACTCTGTTATGATGATTTCTAAGATATGCACGCTGGGTAAAGGACTTGTCACATTCTTTACACTTATAAGCTTTCTCTCCAGTATGACTTTTCTCATGTTCTCTAAGAGTTGAGCTCTCACGAAAAGATTTGTCACATTCCTTACATCTGTAAGGTCTCTCTCCAGTATGAACACTCTGATGTCTTTTAAGATGTGAACTATGAATAAAGGATTTGTCACATTCCCTACATTTGTAAGGTTTCTCTCCAGTGTGAATTTTCTGATGTGTTTTAAGAGTTGTGGCTGTAGTAAAGGATTTGTCACATATTTCACATTTGTAAGGTTTTTCACCAGTATGGATTCTGTAATGCCTTTTAAGATGTGATAATTCAATAAAAGACTTACCACATTCTTTGCATTCATAAGATATCTCTGGAGAATGAGTTTTCTGATGCCATCTTAATGATGCATAGTGGGTAAAGGATCTGTCACACTCATTGCATTTGTAAGGCTTCTCCCCAGTATGGAGTCTGTAATGTTTTCTAAAGTGTGAAAGCTGATGAAATTCCCTGCCACATTCTGGGCAACTACAATGTTCCTCCAAAGTATGGATTTTCTGATGTGTCCTGAAATTGGGATAGTGGGCAAAGGATTTATCACATTCCTTGCATTTGTAAGGCTTCTCTCCAGTATGCAATTTCTGATGACTTTTAAGGGCTGACAACTGAACAAATGATTTTCCACAGTCTTTGCATTTGTAAGGTTTCTCACCAGTATGACGTCTTTGATGAATTTTAAGATGTGTGCACTGGGTAAAGGATTTGTCACAAACATTGCACTTGTAGGGTTTCTCTCTAGTATGAATTCTCTGGTGTACAGTGAGGCTTGAGGAGGTACTGAAGCATTTCCCACATTCCCCACACTGGTGTGGTTTCTCTTTAATATAGATTGTTTGTTGCATGAGACTGTATGCAGAGCTGAAATAGTCATCATATGCATCCTGTCTCTGCTCTTTCTTTGCAGTGTAGAGTCTCTGATCCGGACTAATGTCGGAAAACAAAGTTAAAGATTTCTCACAGTCTCTAGACTCACAAGGTTCTTCGCCAGTGTACGTGCTTTTATGCCTATCTCGGTTTGACGAGTCAACAGAGGCATCCCTGTCATTACAACATCTGTAGTTATTAGAGGTTTCTGTAGTGTTACTTGCTTTATAAAGTACACAGTTGGAGGCACCATGGAGCATTTCGCCAAGTTCATTAAAATGGTAAGACTCCTTTTCTGTCTTCACATGTTGGACAGCATCACACATGCAGTAGTTCTCTGAAAATGCGTATAATTCAGATTAATAGGGCTTGTTCTATGATTAAACATTTGATAAATGATTGTCTCCTTAAGTTCTCTCTTAAGTCAGTCAGCAACTACTTAAAGACATGTTTCTTTCACTATAATTTTATTATGTATTATCACAAACAAAGCCTGACAGCCTTCAAGAATCTGTAATGTATAACAGATATGGCATCTCATGGAAAATGTTTCATGGATCAAGATGGATCAAATACTTAAAGAGTCAGTAATTACCTTTGGGGTGGACTGATCATATTTAGAATACATGTCTCTACTCAGAAATCGATGAAGAAGAATGTAATGCAATCCAGGTTCACAGTGTCTGTGTTCAATGAAGGGTACATTTCAGAAGATCCAAATCTTTCTAATATTAAAGGCTTACTTAAAAGCATCAAAGGGTTAATATTTTTTCTAAAAATACCACACTAGATTCTTCAAAAATAATGAAAGCAAAGAGAGTATTCTGCCAGATACCAGAGGCTCTAGAATATAGAGTCTAGAGTCTAGATCATTTGAAGTAGGGCTAGTGTGGGCAGCTATTGGTTATTTCTTTCCTCCATTGTTTGAGCTACACACACTGCTGTGTTTATCAACTTTTCCTTATGGGGTATTCTTAAGGTACACTGTTTCTTGGAATTGTTTTGCAGAAGGGTTTCTGCATTTTCTCCAGAGACAAAAATGAAGGATGTAAAGGAAGGCAATTGCAGAATAATGCTACTTCATGAACTCACAGTACACTCATAATTTTGTAAAGTGAACAATTTGATGTCAGCATAGTCAAGTAAAATTGCATTTTATACTAGTATTAAGTGATCATAAATCAGGTGGAGTAAGGTACAATGTCTTCTAACAGTTATAACAGGCAGGATACATCTGGGGCCAGGATATTATAGAAAGCTAAATGAGTGGAAATCATTTCAAGTGGAACTGAATGCAGAGAAAGTACTTTCCGTTCTTCCTTTCTCTTTCACTTGAATCCTTCCCAGTTGATCAGCTCCTTCACTAGCCCTCCCTAGTTGTGGCTCCTCTCTCCTCTCCACCTTCCAGGGAAAACTTTTTCCTCCAGACCTACACTGCATACAATAATCCACGAGTTTTATGAGGTAGCCAATGATCCATGCTACAATTTTTAGAAAGAATACAGGTGTCTAAGACAGTACTTTCCTCAGTACATAAAGACAACACAAAATAGAAGAATCTGGCAATGGATTCCTAATTGCTATTTCCTGTCAGAATCTTCACCATATTTAGGGAGAAATTTCAGTTTGCATATCTTAAGTTTTTTTCCACAATTAAAACCATGTAATTACAATGATAGACAAAGATATGGATATAAATATTGCATAATACTAAGTTGCTGACTGCTTTATTTTGTTATGGAAACAAAATAAAGGGTCCATGAGACCTTTAAAGTGCAAAATGGAAAGTAAAGATCAAATACCATGAAAAGTTTTTTCTACTATTCAACTTTCTCTATTCTTATGTTGTTTCCAAAGAGCTTTAACAAGGAGTTTTACTATGTATAAAGTCAGTACATACAAAAGAGGAGTTGATAGTTCCTAAAGCAAAATGTTCTCACCCACAGAGACCAGATTTCTGTAATTCTCCAACATCACATCAATGTACAAAGCCCTCTGAGCAGAGTCCAGGCATTCCCATTCCTCCTGAGGGAAGTCCACAGCCACATCCCTGAATGTCAAGAGATCCTGAAACAAAAATGCACAGAGTGACCACATGATGCTGGGTACAGTGCTTTTCTGGAAATAAGAAGATGGGATATAGATGAATGAAGACCATTACTCAAAGAGATGAGTTCTAATATAGTCACACTCTATAATGAATGTTCTACCTCTGTGAAAACAGGATGACACAATAGTTTCACAAGCCTATCCATGAAACAAGACAGACATTTGATGATTACCTATATATTATGTATACTTTATGTCCCATAGGATCACAGTGTACAATATAACTAAAAGGCACAGAGACAGTATCCAAATCAACAAAATCAGAAAGGAATAGGAAAACATAACAGCAAACACTGAGGAAATTAAAAAATATTATTAGGTCTTACTTTAAAACCCTATACTCTACAAAACTGGAAAATCTATGTCAAATGGATGATTTTTTTAGACAGATATCACTTACTAGAGTTAAAATCAAGATCAGGCAAACTGTCTAAATAGTTCCATAACCCCTAAGGAAATAGAAGCAATCATTAAAAGTCTCTCAACCAAAGAAAGGACAGGGCCAGATGGTTTAAGCATAGAATTCTACCAGACTTTCAAAGAGCTAATACCAATACTCCTTAAACTATTCTACAAAATAGAAACTGGAGGAAGATTGCCAAAACTCATTCTATGAGGCCACAGTCACCCTGATACCTAAATACAGAATGACTCAAAACAGCAACAGAAAAAAAATAACAAAAAACAAAAATAAATTTCATATCAATGTCACTTATGAACACTGATGGAAAAATACCCAGTAAAATACTTTCAAATGGAATTCAAGAACACATCAAAAACACCATGATCAAGTAAGTTTCATCCCAGGCATTCAGGGATGGTTCAATATACCAAAAACCATCTATGTACTGCACCATATAAACAAAGTGAAAGAAAAAAATCCACATGATCATACCATCAGATGTTGAAAAGGTCTTTGACAAAATCCAATATCTCTTCATTTTAAAAGTCTTAGAACAACCAGAGATACAAGGAACATACCTAAACACAATGAAGGCAATGTATAGCAAGTCAAGAGATAACATCAAAGTAAATGGAGAGAAACTTAAGTAATTCACTAAAATGGGACAAAGTAAGACTGTCTATTCTCTCCATATCTCTTCAATATAGTACATGAAATTCTAGCTAGAAGACTAAGACAACTAAAGAAGATCAAAGGGACACAAATTGGAATGGAAGAAATCAAAGTATCACATTCAAACATGATATGATAATATATATAAGTGACTGCAAAAACTCTACCAAAGAACTCCTATAGTTGATAACCACCTTCAGAAAAGTGGATGGGTACAAATTTAATTAAAAAAAAAATCAGTAGCCCTCTCTTATACAAATGATAAATGGGCTAAGAAAGAAATCAGGGAAACAATACTCTTCACAATAGCCACAAATAATATAAATATCTTGGTGTACCTCTAACCAAGCAAGTAAAAGACTGTATGACAAGAACTTCAAGTCTCTGAAGAAATAAAGTCATAGGAGGCAGACCATGGGAAGTAACCGTGTGGAGGTGGGATGGGGAGGGGAATGGGGGATGGTCAGGAGCAGGTGTGGGGAGAAATAGGAGAGAGGGCCAGAGGGCAGGGAGGATGAATGGAAATCAGTGACTGGCAAGGATGGTGGTGGAGGCAACTATAAAATGTGACAGAGACATGAAATGGGGGAGCCTCCCAGAAGTCTATGGGGCTCACTTTAGCTGAGACTCCTAGTAATGCAGATATGGAACCTGAATTGGCTACTTCCTTTACCCAGGCAGGAACCCGAGCAGAGTGCTAAGGACACTAATGCACCCACAAAACTATAGACACAAAATGTGTCCTGTTTACAGGAACAAAGGTGGAATAGGAAATGGCCAACCAATAACTGGCCCAATTTGAGACCATCCCCATGGCCAAGCACCAATCCTAGACACTATTAATGATACTTTGTTATGCTTGTAGACAAGAGCTTATCCCTCATATGAATAATTTAGCCAGTAATATATCTATATGGAAACAATGTACAAGTGAGCACAGTAGAATATGGAGAAAAAAAAAAGTTCAGATATTTTGGTCATCCTGATAAACCCTTAGATCACTAAATCACGGGAGTGATCATAGGACTTTGTTTATTGCCTTGCTTGTTCTTTGACTTTTTGTGTTTATTGTCTTGCTTGTTCCTTGACTATTTGCATCTATTATATTGCTAGTTCCTCAACCTAGAACTGACCTTAATACTTGTAATTAATTTCATGTAATTAAAATGATATAAAAGCAGATTGGGGGGAAAAAAGGAACCAAGCAGAGGATGTCGTTGTGTTTGGACCAGACACTGAACATTACATGTTCTTTTAGAACATATGACCAAAGAACAAAATCAAGCTTCTGAAGAATTTATGGCATCCTCTCTTCACAAATAAACATAGGCATCTCTCAAAAAAAGAAAAAAATAAATGAAAAGTTAAATATGAGGGGATGAGGTAGAACTGAACGCAGGCAACGAAATCCAGTTATGAAAGATATATTAAGGTGACTGCTGTTTTATTTCTACTTCTGTCACAGGTTTTGGGACTTTGGTGGTAGATAATTCATCAAAATATATTGGCTACTGAAACTCTTAAATGAGTGTCTCTAGAGCTTTAGTTCTCAATGACTAATGTAATGTAATGACTAATGTAACCATATATAATTTCATTTAGTTCTAGAGACTTTCAATTTCAGTCTGGTTACTTTCAGTGTTTGATTTTGTACATGTTTCCAACATGTCTTATAATCAAGTTAAAGCAAATTATCAGAAGGAGAAAATTAAAGGTTTGCAATGTTTGAAGATACATTTCTAGGAAAAAAGTGGACATGACCACTGACCTGGGACTTCTTTACTGGAGAATCAGCCATTTCTTTCTGTTTCTCTTCTTCAAATTTCTCTTTAACATACAGTGAAATGCCAGCTTGTGGCTTTTTCATATAAGGGGTCAAAAAAAAAGCAATAATTAATTCTGGAAGCTACTAAAGAACAGATTCAAACCACATAAAAAGACTCAAGCAACAGAATACTACCTGGTGTTCAATCAGCAATCCCAAAGCCAAAAGACCAATCACAGCTCAGTCAAACCTGAGGGTCAGAAATGGAACTGAATAATCAAGATGAGAATATTATACACTAGTGAAGTTCTAAATTTATCCTGGACTAAAAATGATGGAAGCCCTATTCCCCCAAAGGAACCCATGCTTGCAGAGTAACTTGCCACCAAACCCTGAGGAGGAGCAAGGGAGACTGGAAGCAAACTATTCTCACCCACACAAACCAGAGTTCTGTAATTCTGCAACTTCTGGTCTTCGTACAAAGCACTCCCAGCAAGGTCCTGACATTGCCCCTCTTTTCTGGGAGAAGTCCACAGTCACACCAGTGACTGCGAACTGACCACAAAATAGAAAACAGCAATTTGAATAGTGGTCCTGGTGCACACCTTTAACCCTAGCACTCAGAAAACAGAGTCAGGTCTAACTCTGTGACTTCCAGTCCTGCCTGGTCTACATCTTGAGTTCTGGGCCAGACAGAGGAACATAATGGATTCAACCCACAGACAGAGCAAACACAGGAACCACAAATCAAATCAAATCAAATCAACAGTTTGTGTTCATGGACAGAGTAGTTTTCTAGAACTGAGGAGACAAAAGACTTTTGCTGACTATATATATATATATATGAGCTAAGGTAATTATTTGAAAGATGATTTATTGTACCATTCTATAAAATATAATATCTTTTCTATTTTACTTTTATTTTTTTCCCTTTCCTTCTCCCTCTTCCCATAGACATGATTTCTCTTTGTGGCTCTGGCTGTCCCTGTGTACCAGGGTGGCAGGGAACTTCCAGATCCAACTGCCTCAGTTTCCCAAGTGTAGGGATTAAAGGCTTGTGCCAGCACAAGCTGGCTCATAATGTCCTTTCTAACTGTGAACTGTAAGGGATGTGCAACTTGGTCATCATGTTGGTCCCCTAACAAGTGGAGCAGAGGCTGTCTCTGACTCTGTTAACTGCCTTTGGATCCCCTTTCCTTAACTGGGCAGTCTTACCTAGCTTCAATAGGAGATAATGTCTAATCCTACTGCATCTTGATATGCCAAGGAGGGTGGATATCCATGGGAGGCTTTCCCTTCTCTGAGGATAAGAAGAGGAAGGTGTGAGGGAGGGAGAGGAGGAGTCAGACACTAGGAGGAGAGGAAGCAGTGATGGCAATGTATGGTGAATAAATTAATGAGCAAAAAGTTTACTTTTAAAAGTTACATTTACAACTATATCTATGAAACTCGCAACAAATATCCGTTGAGATTCAATTACATTTCCAGCCATTCCTTTCATGACTAATAGCTACAGGCTCTCTAGGGATGTACACAGGAGTTAGCGTGGATGTAAGTCCTTTACACTTCAACAAAGAGAACTTGCTTGCAATTATCAATAGATAAATTCAAATATTCTACTACTCTAACATTTTAAATATTTTTGCAATCACACGTTCAATGAAAAACACATCAGGATTATTGCAGTTTGTGTGCGCTAATATATCGAGAATGAAAGACAACGACAGAGAAATTTCAGAGTCACTTCGCTGCTGATTGCGGACTCTCCCAGGATGCCCCGCGCGGCACCCATGGCTGCCCGGAATTTTAGCTTCTCCCGAAGTCCGCCCTGTCCTGCGACCCCAGATCTGCAGCACGCGATTCCCCACAGTGCAGGGTCGCAAGCTCTGGACCTGAACAGGTCCTTAACACTTTTGGTTTTGGTTCTTGTCCAACTTACCACGATTCACTCACCTAGTTCCCCAGCTTCCGCCTACGTCACTCAACTAGCTCCTCCCACTCCGAACGCTTCTACACGCCCACGTAACGTCCAACATCCTTGCATGCTCCGTTTCCGAGTGAGTGGCCCTGCCCTGCTGAGATTTGTCCCTCCCGCTTTGTCGCAGGCTGCCTTCCACACAGCTAACCCAGCCTCCTTACATGCCAGCTAGACCAGAACTGGATCTGGTAGGACTCTGCACCCGGATATCTGACCCCCTTAGTGAGTACAGAACCCTCTAGATAAAAGACAGGAAGCCTAACACCTCCACTGGACTTCCAGACTCTGGAATACATACTTTATACTAAACAACAACACCGGCTAAATTCAGCAGCCCGAGTTCCAGCGCCAAACACAAACATGAGAAGTCAAGAGCAAATCATGAAATTTTGACTTGGGAAGAGACATTTAAAGAACCTGGATTTTGAAAAGAAATAGGTGTCTCAAGAACTCAGTGGTCAACCCTTTGCTGTTGGCCCAAGGCCGAATCCATCCCTCGTTGTACGCTTTCACCACTAGATGGCAGTGTTGTCATTTTAGTAACTCAGAAAGCTAGTCTTTTTTTTTTTTTTTTTCGAGACAGGGTTTCTGTCCTGGAACTCATTCTGCAGACCAGGCTGGCCTACGAACTCAGAAATCCGCCTGCCTCTGCCTCCCAAGTGCTGGGATTAAAGGCGTGCGCCATCACTGCCCGGCTGAAAGCTAGTCTTCTGGGACTCTTAAGGTGAAAGAAAAATAGAATTGTTTGTTTTTCTCCTTTCCCTCCCTCCCTCCCTCCCTCCCTCCCTCCCTCCCTCCCTCCCTCCCTCTATTCTTCCCTTCCTCCCTTCCTTCTTTCTTTTCTTTCTTGAGTGTTGAATGCAGAGACCTCACAGATGCAAAAAATAAGTAAGTATGGTTCTAATCCTAATAAAGTCAGTTACCATCTCAGTCCATCCCATCTCTAGCTCTGGGAACACCAAGGAAGAAGAGGTGGTTAGGCAATAAGAAGAGAAAGAGGAGGGGAAAGGCTAAGACATATCATTCTCTAGACTCCAAACAACTATTGTAATCAGTAACCAACAGCAGCTGTCTTTATCTGCACTGGCCTCACACAAGACCACAGTCAGTCTAGGAAAGGGAACAGCTCACTTTATCTCTCAGACGTTGGCTGTTAGTAGATTGTAGAAGAATTACTGCTTTAGTTGTTACCCTGTGCTGAGCACATCAGGCTCCAGCACATAGCTGCAAACCCACAGTCTCACAAATGGCTCTGGGTCATCTCAGTGGGTCCCAGGCGATATGATTAGAGATGAACACAACCGAGAGGTTTGTTAAAATTGTAGACCAGAAGAGCAGAGGTTTAGGAGGTGGAATTGGGCAATATTTGCTGTGGGCACACAAATGCAATATGCAAGTGTGACATAGCTGATAATAGAAAACTTGGGGGAGGTCATTCATTTATTCTTTCACTCATTCATTTGGGACAGGTTTTCTCTGTGTAACACAATTATTAATGAAGTATGCTACCATGCCCAGCTCAAAAACATGTTTTCTAAAAAGATTTATTTCTTTTACATGAGTGCTCTATCTGCATGTACATCTGCATACCAGAAGTGGGCATCAGACCCCTTTACAGATGGTAGTGAGCCATGATGTGGTTATTGAGAATTGAACTCAGGAATTCTGGAAGGGCATCCAGTGCTCTTAACCTCTGAGCCATCTCCCCTGCCCCTCAAAATTGTTTTCAAATTACCACATCAGTCTATATTTTCTTTTTGATTGTATCAGTATTGGGTGGGGTGCTTCTATTTGTTAAATTTTTGTTTGATTGATTGTTGTGTTGTTGTTGTTGTTGTTTTCTGAGACAGGCTGGCTTTGAACTTACTGAGACCAGCCTACTCTGTCCCTGGAATACTAGGATTAATTAGATGGCACACCAAGCCTGGCTCAGAATCTGGTTTAGTATCAGGTAATAGTTAGAGTTAGAAAGTCTTGCTTTTTTGTATCAAGAAGTAGTGAATGTTAAGTAGCATTGACATTAGTTATTTGAAATAAAATCTTGTCAATCTTGTCATGGGGTTGTTGTAAAGATGGCATTTTATGCCCAGAAATGGGTAGAAGGAACTTGAAGAGTCCGCCTCCAGTAGATAGAAGTGGAGGGACGGGGTTACTAACCTGCAGTCAAAATTTCTGACCCAGAACTGTTTCTATCTAAAAGAACTACAGGGACAAAAATAGAGAAGAGACTGAAGACGGGAGCCTTGCCCTCTATCGGAGGTAGGATTGGTAAAGTTCTTTTCCCAATCTGTTGATTGCCGTTTTGTCCTATTGACAGTGTCCTTTGCCTTACAGAAGCTTTGCAATTTTATGAGGTCAAATTGGTCAATTCTTGATCTTAGAGCATAAGCCATTGGTGTTCTGTTCAGGAAATTTTCCCCTGTGCCTAGGTATTCGAGGATCTTCCACACCTTCTCTTCTATAAGTTTCAGTGTATCTGGTCTTATGTGAAGGTCCTTTATCCACTTGGACTTGAGATTTGTACAAGGAAATAAGAATGGATCAATTTTCATTCTTCTACATGCTGACCTCCAGTTGAACCAGCACCATTTGTTGAAAATGCTGTCCTTTTTCCACTGGATGGTTTTAGCTCCTTTGTCAAAGATGAAGTGACCATAGGTGTGTGGGTTCATTTCTGGGTCTTCAATTCTATTCCATTGATCTTCCTGCCTGTCTCTGTACCAATACCATGTAGTTATTTTTTTTTCTTTTTTATCACTGTTGCTTTGTAGTACACCTTGAGGTCAGGGATGGTGATTCCCCCAGAAGTTCTTTTATTGTTGAGAATAGTTCTTGCTATCCTGGGTTTTTTGTTATTCCAAATGAATTTGCAAATTGCTCTTTCTAGCTCTATGAAGAATTGAGTTGGAATTTTGATGGAGATTGCATTGAATCTGTAGATTGCTTTCGGCAAGATAGTCATTTTTACTGTATTAATCCTGCCAATCCATAAGAATGGGAGATCTTTCCATCTTCTGAGATCTTCTTCAATTTCTTTCTTCAGAGACTTGAAGTTCTTGTCATACAGATCTTTCACTTGCTTGCTTAGATTCACACCAAGATATTTTATATTATTTGTGACTATTGTGAAGGGTGTCATTTCTCTAATTTCTTTCTCAGCCTGTTTATCCTTTGAGTAGAGGAAGGTTACTGATTTGTTTGAGTTGATTTTATATCCAGCCACTTGCCTGAAATTGTTTATCAGGTTTAGGACTTCTCTAGTGGAAGTTTTAGGATCACTTAAGTATACTACCATGTCATCTGCAGATAGTGAGATTTTGACTTCTTCCTTTCATATTTGTATCCGTTTGACTTCCTTTTGTTGTCTAATTGCTCTGGCTAGGACTTCCAGCACTATATTGAATAGGTAGGGAGAGAGTGAGTAGCCTTGTCTAGTCCCTGATTTTCTTGGGAATGCTTCAAGTTTTTCTCCATTTAGTTTGATGTTGGCTACCGGCTTGCTGTATATTGCTTTTACAGTGTTTAGGTATGGTTCTTGAATTCCTGAACTTTCCGAGACTTTTACCATGAAGGAATGTTGAATTTTGTCAAATGCTTTCTCAGCATCTAGTGAGATGATCATATGTTTTTTTTCCCTTTGAGTTTGTTTATATAGTGGATTACATTGATGGATTTCTGAATGTTGAACCATCCTTGCATTCCTGGGATAAAACCTACTTGATCATGATGGATGATTGTTTTGATGTGTTCTTGGATTCGGTTTGCCAGAATTTTGTTGAGTATTTTTTTCATATATTCATAAGGGAGATTTTTCTGAAGTTCTCTTTCTTTGTTGGATCTTTGTGAGCTTTAGGTATGATTGTGATTGTGGCTTTATAGAATGAATTTGGTAGTGTTCCTTCTGTTTCTATTTTGTGAAATAGTTTGAAGAGAATTGGTATTAAGTCTTCCTCAAAGGTCTGATAGAATTCTGCACTGAAGCCATCTGGTCCTGGCCTTTTTTTGGTGGAGAGACTTTTAATGACTGCTGCTATTCCTGTAGGGGTTATGGGATGGTTTAGATGGTTTATCCGCTCCTGATTTAACTTTGGTACCTGGTATCTGTTTAGAAAGTTGTCCATTTCATCCAGATTTTCCAGTTTTGTTGAGTATAGGCATTTGTAGTAGGATCTGATGATTTTGTGAATTTCCTCAGTTTCTGTTGTTATGTCTTCCTTTTTAGTTCTAATTTATTAATTTGGATACTGTTTCTGTGCCCTCTGGTTAGTCTGGCTAAGGGTTTATCTACCTTGTTGATTTTCTCAAAGAACAAACTCCTGGTTTTATTGATTCTTTGTATAGTTCTTTTTGTTTCTACTTGGTTGATTTCAGCCGTGAGTTTGATTAGTTCCTGCCATCTACTTCTCTTAAGTGTATTTGCTTCTTTTTGTTCTAGAGCTTTTAGTTGTGCAGTCAAGTTGTTAGTGTGTGCTCTCTCCAGTTTCTTTTTGTAGGCACTTAGAGCTATAAGTTTTCCTCTTAGCACTGCCTTCATGGAGTCCCACAAGTTTTGGTATGATGTGTCCTCATTTTCACTGAATTCTAAAAAGTCTTTAATTTCTTTCTATATTTCTTCCTTGACCAAGTCATCACTGAGTAGAGAGTTGTTCATTTTCCATGTGCATGTGGGTTTTCCATTGGTTTTGTCATTATTAAAGGCCAGTCTTAGTCCGTGGTGATCTGATAAGGTGCATGGGATTATTTCAAACTTTTTGTATCTGTAGAGGCCTGTTTTGTGACCAATTATATGGTTTATTTTGGAGAAGGTACCATGAGGTGCTGAGAAAAAGGTATATTCTTTTGTTTTAGGATGAAATGTTCTATAGATATCTGTTAAGTCCATTTGGTTCATAACTTCTGTTAATTTCAAAGTGTCTCGGTTTAGTTTCTGTTTCCATGATCTGTCCATTGCTGAGAGTGGGGTGTTGAAATCCCCCACTATTATTGTTTGAGGTGTAATGTGTATTTTGAGCTTTAGTAAAGTTTCTTTTATGTATGTAGGTGCCCTTGAATTTGGAGCATAGATGTTCAGAATTGAGAATTCACCTTGGTAGATTTTTCCTTTGATGAGTATGAAGTGTCCTTCCTTATCTTTTTTTATTACTTTTGGATGAAAGTCGATTTTATTTGATATTAGAATGGCTACTCCAGCTTGTTTCTTGGGACCATTGGCTTGGAAAATTGTTTTCCATCCTTTTACTCTGAGGTAGTATCTGTCTTTATCATTGAGGTGCGTTTCTTGTATGTAGCAAAATTCTGGGTCCTGTTTGTGTATCCAGTCTGATAGTCTGTGTCTTTTTATTGGGGAATTGAGACCATTGATGTTAAGAGATATTAAGGAAAAATGATTGTGGCTTCCAGTTATTTTTGTTATTAGAGGTAGAATTATGTTTGTATAGCTATCTTCTTTTGGGGTTGTTGGAAGATTACTTCCTTGCTTTTTCTAGGTTGTAGTTTCCCTCCTTGTGTTGGTGTTTTCCATCAGTTATCCTTTGAAGTTCTGGGTTTGTGGGAAGATATTGTGCAAATTTGGTTTTATCATGGAATATCTTGGTTTCACCATCTATAGTGATTGAGAGTTTTGCTGGGTATAGTAATCTGGGCTGGCAATTGTGTTCTCTTAGGGTCTGTATGATGTCAGTCCAGGCTCTTCTGGCTTTTATAGTCTCTGGTGAGAAGTCTGGTGTAATTCTTATAGGTCTGCCCTTATATGTTACTTGACCTTTTTCCCTTACTGCTTTTAGTATTTTTTCTTTGTTTTGTACATTTGATGTTTTGATTACTATGTGACAGGAGGTATTTCTTTTCTGGTGTAGTCTATTTGGTGTTCTGTAGGCTTCTTGTATGTTAATGGGCATCTTGTTCTTAAGGTTAGGGAAGTTTTCCTCAATAATTTTGTTGAAGATATTTACTGGCCCTTTAAGTTGGGAATCTTCATTCTCATTTATACCTATTATCCTTAGGTTTGGTCTTCTCATTGTGTCCTGGGTTTCCTGGACGTTTTGGGTTAGGAGTTTTTTGCATTTTGCATTTTCTTTGACAACTGTGTCAATATTTTCCATGGTATCTTCTGCACTTGAAATTCTCTCTTCTATCTCTTGTATTTGTTTGGTGATGCTTGCGTCTAGGACTCCTGATCTCTTTCTTAGGTTTTCTATCTCCATGGTTATCTCCCTTTGAGCTTTCTTTATTGTTTCTATTTCCATTTTCAGATCCTGAATGTTTTTGTTTAATTCCTTCTTTGTGTTTTCTTGCACTTCTTTAAGGGATTTCTGTGATTCCTCTTTAAGGGCTTCTACCTGTTTACTTGTACTCTCCTGTATTTCTTTAAGAGAGTTACTTATGTATTTCTTAAAATCCTCTATCATCATCATGAGAAGTGATTTTAATTCTGTGTGATGGGGTGTCCAAGGCTAGCTATATTGGGAGAACTGGGTACTACTGATGAAGCCAAGTATCTTTGGTTTCTGCTGCTTATGTTCTTGTGCTTGCCTTTTGCCATCTGGTTAACTCTAGTGTTACCTGCTCTCATTGTGTAAGACTGGAGTCTATATTTCTGGTTATCTTGCTTGTGGCAGAGCTCCTCAGAGTCCAGATGTCTCTGTGGTCTTATGATCCTAATCTCCTGGGTGGAAGAACTCCTGGGACTCAGGCCACCTCTTGGATCTGGAAATCCTTCTGCTCTGGGTACAGTGGTTCCTCTAGGATGGCTCAGGATACAATGTCTCCCAAGTGCAAACCAGCTCGGTGTTTGCTGCTCTGAGTGCAGTGGCTCCTCTAGGTTGGCTCAGGATTCAGTATCTCCACAGGAGCAGATCAACTCTGTTTCTGCCTCAGCTAAAAGGACCAGGCAGGAGCGGAAGGGAAGTGGAATTCCGCTCTCCTGTACTTCTTTAAGGGAATTATTTCCACCCCTCTTAATGTCCTCTATCATCATCATGAGAAGTGATTTTAATTCTGAATCCTGCTTTTCCAGTGTGATGGGGTGTCCAGGGCTTCCTCTGTTGGGAGAACTGGTTTCTGATGATGTCAGGTAACTTTGGTTTCTGTTGCTCATGTTCTTGCACTTATCTTTCACCTTCTGGTTAACTCTAGTGCTACCTGCACTCACAGTCTCTGACTGGAGCCTCTCTTTCCAGTTTTCTTGCTTGTGTCAGAACTCCTCAGGTCCAGATTTCTCGGTGATCCTGAGCTCCTGGGTGGAATAACTGCTGGGACTCAGGCTGCCTCTGGGATCCTGAAACCCTGCTGCTCTGAGTTGCAGTGGTTCCTTCTCTGCTGAGTGAAGTGGTTCCTCTAGGATGGCTCAGGATATGGTGTCTTCATGGGAGCAGACCAGCTAGGTGTCTGCCCTAGCCAAATGGACCAAGCTAGGGGCAGAAGGGGAGTGGTATTCCAGAGGGATGGGGTTTGTGTGGCTGATGGATCCTGAGCCTCAGACTCAGGGTCCCAGTTATAGCTCTGTGGCATAGGGGAGTAGGAGAGAGTTCTTACCCGCCACTCTGACTGCAGTGGTTCCCCTAGGATGGCTCAGGATATGGTGTCTTCCTGGGAGCAGACCAGCTAGGTGTCTGCCCCAGCCAAAAATTGCTCTTCATGTTCTTGTTGCTTTATTCACTATCTAGGCCTGGAACCAACTCACATATATATCAGTTGACACATGTGTAAATATGATGCATATCTACAGAACATGGTATATTACTTTATTGTAAATAAAAATGAAAATGAGGAATCAGGATATAAACATAGTCAAACAAAAAATACAACGAGTACTTCCACCTGGCCCCCAATAGTCAAATGGCACATTTCCACTTATATGTGGGTCTTCATTCAATGTTTTTCTTTTGGTTGTTGATGATCTTGAAGGTGAAAGATGAGACTACTATTTCTTTTCTTCATAATGAATTTGCTTTCATGTCAGCAGTTTCAGCACTAGGTTAAGGCTTTGTCAAATTGGAGTTGTAATTTCCAATGAAGACATGCATATTTTATATGCTATACTTTGACATAGTTTCTCAGAAGTATAAACTTTATGAGGTACAGTACAATTAGAGGTCATTGTCATATATTAAATGATACATTTTATCCTTTTTATGATTTTGAGACAGGCTCCATGTAGAGAGAATCTCCTGTGTACTGTATGGATGCAGAACCTCAATTAAAATCTGGTGGATTATTAGCAAAAGGCAGGAAATAAAAGACAGAAGCTGAGGTGGAAATTTCTGGTTTCTTTGGGGACTCATTTGTGTCATGTGATATTTTTCTGGAAAGTGTTTTATGAGAGGACATTTTGCTGAGGCAGACATGTAGGTGGGTGGTTTTCTTCGAATAGACACGTGGTGTTTTTCTGGAAGCTGCCTGGAAAAAGGGCATGCGATATTTTAAGAGAGCTGATGCTTGGTGTTTGGAAAGATATAACCCAACAGACAGTGGATGACACTGGGGCATTTGTTTGCCTTGCCTTTTTCAGTGGTCATTGTTTGTTGAGACTTTGTAGAGATTTCTGGTGGTGTTCTGGTGGCTTCTTGTCACTTCTGTGGTCTCGGGGGCTGACTGGCAGAGCCCTGTGGTTTCTTTTGGATTGAACTGCTGTTACTGGTTCATGAATGGTGTTTGCAAGTGAATGGAGTTAGTGCTGCTGAGCTCTGTGAACTGAGCTGCTGCTATCATGACAAAGATTAGAATCACCCCAAAGAACTATTTCTAAACAGGCCTAAATTTTTTGCCCTATTAGCCTTTCCTTTCCACTACCTATGGTGGTTGGTGGACTTGAGGTTAAAGTATTTAAGAACTCTTATTAAGGTAGGTCTTGAAAAATAAAAATCTACAGGGATCTCAGTGAGATTGAAACTCTGGGAGGTAGTCACAGGTGTGAAAGATTCACCCTGGACCACAAGGAGACAGACATATGAAGATGAGAAGAGGTAAACAGCTCTGTAGCACACAAGGAATATAATAAACAGGTTATATAATTTAAGTCTAGCAGTCATTATTTCAGGAACAAAGAAGCTCCTGGTTATAAGTATATGTAGTTCTGGCTGTCCTGGAACTATGTATACCAGGATGGCCTCTGATTAACAGAGACCATTTTTGCCTCTGTTGGCTGAGTACACAACCTTTCCTGGAATTATGAATTTTTCAATATTGAACAAGACAAAATATTATATTACAGCTTTTCCCAGTGACTAGAAGGACAAAAGCACCATTCAGAGGTTAAAAGCAACATCTGTTTTTACAGTGTATTGAGGTTCAATTTCCAACACACAAATAACAGCTCACAACTGTCTTTAACTCCAGCTTTAGGGGATCTGGCCTCCACAGGCACCAGTCATAGATGTAGTGCACAGAGATACAAGCAGCAAAGTACAGACACACACACACACGCACGCACATGCACACACACAAGAAAATAAAGATGCCGGGCAGTGGTGGCGCATGCCTTTAATCCCAGCACTTGGGAGGCAGAGGCAGGCGGATTTCTGAGTTTGAGGCCGGCCTGCTCTACAGAGTGAGTTCCAGGACAGCCAGGATGATACAGAGAAACCCTGTCTTGAAAACAAACAAACAAACAAAAAAAGAATACTGTGTCTGAGAGGCCAGTGACTCTCATAATTACATAATTACATAATTTCACATAATTACATTTGGAAATTTTATTTTGACAAACTTTGTGATACATTCTAAGATTTAAAACCTTATTAAAGGCTTTCCATGTTTCTCACACTTACATTTTATTTCTATTATGTATAATGTTAGGATTTGAATGCAGAGAGAATACTAGATGAATGTTATGCCACATTATTTACAATTTTATGTTTCTCTCCAGTATGAACTTTCTGATGTCTTTTAAGATGTGAGTACTGGATATAGCATTTGCCACATACCTCACATTTGTAAGGCTTCTCACCAGTGTGGATTTTCTGATGTGCTCTAAGAATTGCACATGTAGTAAGTGATTTGCCACATTCCTTACACACATAAGGTCTCTCTCCAGTATGAACTCTCTGATGTGTTCTAAGTTGTGAGGCCTGTGTAAAGGATTTGTCACATACACTACATTTGTAAGGTTTCTCTCCAGTATGAATTCTCTGATGTGCTCTAAGAGTTGAGGCCCTAGTAAAAGATTTGTCACACTGTTTACATGTATAATGTCTTTCTCCAGTATGAACCTTCTGATGTCTTCTAAGACTTGAGTAGTGGGTAAAGAATATGTCACACTCCTTGCATTTGTAAGTTTTTGGTTCAGTATGGATTTTCTGATGTCTGCTGAGACTTGAAGCCATAGTAAACCATTTGTCACATATGTCACATCTGTAAAGTTTTTTTCCAGTATAAATTCTCTGATGTCTTCGAAGATGTGAGTACTGAGTAAAGGATTTGTCACATTCTTTACATTTGTAAGGCTTCTCACCAGTATGGATTCTGTAATGAGTTTTAAGATGTGATAATATAAAAAAGGACTTACCACATTCTTTGCATTTGTGTGATTTCTGTAGAGAATGATGTTTCTTATGCCTTCTAAAGAATACATAGTGGGGAAAGGATCTGTGACACTCATTGCATTTGTAAGGCTTCTCTCCAGTATGGAGTGTGAAATGGCTTTTAAAGTGTGAGAGCTGATGAAAGACCTTGCCACAGTGTTGACAACTATAATGTTCCTTTGTAGTATGGATTTTCTGATGTCTCTTCAAACCAGTACGGTAGGCATAGGATTTGTCACACTCCTTACATTTGTATCTCTTCTCTCCAGTATGCCTTTGCTGATGGCTTTTAAGTGCAGACAAGTAAGAAAATGACTTTCCACAGTCATTGCATATGTAAGGCTTTGTCCCAGCACGAAGTCTTTGATGTGTTTTTCGATGTGTTTTAAGACTTGAGCACTGAGTAAAGGATTTGTCACAAACATTGCACTTGTAAGGTTTGTTTCCAGTATCCATTTTCTGCTGTACACTGAGGCTTGAGGTAGTACTGAAACATTTCCCATATTTCACACACTTGTGTGGATTCTCTCCAATGTAGATTGTTTGTTGCATAGGACTGTGTGTAGAGCTGAAATGGCCATCATATTTTTCCTGTCTGGGTTCTTTCTCTTCAGTGTAGAGTCTCTGATTTTGAGTCATGTTGGAACACAAATTTAGAGACTTCTCACAGTCTTTAGATTCACAACGTTCTTCTCCAGTGTGCGTGCTTTTATGGCTATCTGAGTCTGACAAATCAGCAGAGGCATCCCAGTCATTACAGCACCTGTAGTTATTAGAGGTTTCTGTAGTGTCACTTCTTTTATAAAGTGCAGAGTTGAAGGGTTCATGAAGCATTTCACCAAGCTCATTACACTGACAGGACTCCTTTTCCGTCTTCACATGTTGACAGGCAGTATCACACATGCAGTAGTTCTCTGAAAATGAGTACAATTCAGATTAGTAGGGCTTGTTCCAAATTTAAACATTTGAGAAATGACTGTCTTCCTACATTCTCTATTAGGAGAAGTACTTAGTACAGAGTTCGTGGAAGTTGACATTTTTCTTTCACTCTAATTGTATGTATGGATTCTCAGAAAAAGAGTAACAGTCTTCAACGCAGATGAAACAAATAACTGAGAAATCAGTATGTAGCTTTGGGATGGGACTCAGTAACAGATTATATTTAGAATATATGTGCCTATTTTTAAATATTTTTTTCTCAGAAAGTGATGAAGAGTTTAATGCAATTCAGATTCACAACACTTATGTAAACTAATGTACAACAAATAAAGATTCCCATTCAAGAAACTCTTTTAGAGTTTGTTAGAATATTAAAGGATTAGTTAAAAACATCAAGGGCTTTTTTTTTTCCTAAGGGGGGGGATTTTTCAAAAGTAGTTGATGCAATTCTGCCATATAGCAGAGGCTCTAGGTGATTTGAGTGAGGGCTACAATGGGCAGCTAGTGCTTATTTCTTTCCTGCATTGTTTGAGCTCCACACACTACTGTCTTTTTTTTACTGTCTGTTTTTGTCTTCCTCCCTCCCTCTCTCTCTCTCTCTCTCTCTTTCTCTCTCTCTTTCTTTCTTTCCTCTAGCTGTCAATTTGATTGGTGTTTATTTATTTACTTACTTACTTTACATCCTAAAGTGTGTATCTACCCCCATCTCTCCCTCCCACAGTCTCTTCCCCCATTTCCCCTCCCCTTCAGCTCTGAGAGAGTAGAGGCCCACTAATGGGTATCTACCCCACCCTGGCACATCCACTACTGTGTTTCTTAACTTTCCTTATATAGTTGTTCTTAAGTGAACTTTCTACACTGACTCTTGAGATAATCTTCCAGAAGGGTGTCTCTGTATCCTCCGCTGAGAAGAAAACGAAGGATGTAATATGACTGAATACCTACATATAAGGAAGGCAGTTACAGAATAATGCTACTTCATGGACTCACATGTCAGCATCGTTAAATAAAATTGCATTGTATACTAGTATTAAGCCACCACAATTCAGGTGCACTAAGGCACAATGACTTCTAACAGTTGCAACAGGCAGGATGCACTGTAAGTTAAATGATCAGGAAGCCTTTCAACTTGGAACTGAATATAGAAAAACCATTTTCAGCTCTTTCTCTTCCTGTTGAAGCCATCACTGTTGTCCCACTCATTCTTTTGCCCACCTTGATTGTGGCTACCATATCTTCTCCACATCTCAGAGTACTCTCATTTGCCTCAGACAGGTGACCAGATCTACTACCCATATAATAACCCATGTGTTCTGTGAAGTAGCCCATGACCCATGCAAGAATTCTTAGAAAGAACAGACGTCTAACACAGTACTGTATTCAGTATATGAAGAAAAGACAAAATGGAGAAATCTAGGAATAATTTTTCCAAATGCTATGTCCAATCAGATCTTCAGTATAATTAGGGAGAAATTTCTTTTTGCACATCTTGAATTTTTCCCACAATTAAAACTATTTCAAATGCAATAATGAAATGGAGCTTTAAGATATGGCTGCAGCCATCTACAAAACCTGTGACCTACAGTCTGTCCCGCCGCACAGCAATGGTGGAACAGAAATTGTGGGATCGGCCAACCAATGTCTGATATGAGTGAAGGCTAACTCCAAAAGATGAAAGTCATACCCAAACTGCTTGCACAACCAAGGACCAGAGCCTAGACAGCCCAGAAACCTAGGATAAAACCAAACACTACTCATAGGAGAAATAGAAGTGTGAACTAAATAACTCCTAATGATATTCTGCTGTACTCATGGATCAGTGCCTTAGTCAGTTATAATGAGAGACGCTTCCTCTGGCTACAGATGGGAACAGATGCAGACGCCCAAAGTCAGACATCAGGAGGAGAGAGAGTCTACATAGAGGGCTCCATCAAATCCCTCCAGAGTTCAGGGAAACATAGAAAGGATGAGGCAGAAAGTGTAAGAGCCAGGAGAGATGGAGGACACCAGGACAACAAGACCCTCTGAATGAACTAGGAAAGTGCAAGTGAACTCACAGGGACTGAAGTAGAAGGCACAGGGCCTACATGGGTCAGCACCTGGTCCTTTGCATGTACACTATAGCTTTCAGCTTAGTATTATATGACTTCTGAGTGTGAGAATGAATGGTTCTCTGATTCCCTTGCCTGTTTTTAGGAATCCTTTACTTCTCTGTTGGGTTACTTTGTCTTACTTCAATATGATGAATTTTCCTTTACATTATTATATGTTATTTTGTTAATCTTGGTTGTTATCTCTTAAAGCCGTGTTCTTTTCTAATAAGAGACAGAAAATGAGTGGATATTGAGGGGAGAGAGTGCAGGAGAAACAGTAGTAAGGGAGGGAAAATTCTAAGTATATATTATGTAAGAATCTGTTTTCAATAAAAGGAAAAAATGAGAAAAAAAGATATGGTACAAATATACATTGCGAGTTTCTGAATACATATTGAAACTGAACTGAAGAAGGCATGAGTCTACTAAAATGAAAACTGGAAAGATAAAATAAACACCATAATAAAGTTTTTTTCTACTACCAAACATTTCCTAGTCTCCTGTTGTTTCCAAGACAGCTTAACAGAGAGTTTATGATCTATAATGACATACAAAGTATCAGTTGGGAGTTCTTTAAGCAAAATATTCTCACCAACAGACACCAGGTTGCTGTAATTCTCCAACATCACTTCAATGTACAGAGCCCTCTGAGCAGAGTCCAGGCATTCCCACTCCTCCTGGGAGAAGTCCACAGTCACATCCCTGAATGTCAACATATCCTGAAACAATAAAATATAATTTGAATATGTGCTATATGGGAGAGTGGTTTCCTGAACAGATGGAGACTTAAGCAAATTTGGGATGTAGATAATCAAAGACAGTTACTTAATCAGATGATTTCTAACATAGTTACATGCCATAATACATGTTCTAACTGTGAAAACAGGATTAAACCAGTCTCACAAGCATATCCATGAAGCAAGACATACATTTCAGGTCTGGACACGTTTATCTATCTGTTATATCCCAGAGCATCACAGTGTATATGTCTGAAAAGAAAAATTCATGATGTGGGAATGTGCTTTGAAATGCTGTACCTCAAGATAATCCTAGAATACTGACACTACAATCCAGTTTGTACTGGGGCCTTGCATGATTCTATTCTACAATGCTAGGTCGGGATGTTTAAACTCTAGGTCCAATGCGTAACATTACAGAGTTAAATGGTAGATATGGAAGGCAGAATATAAGATTAAGTTCATTGTGGAAGAGTTTTTTTGGTCTTTTTCCAAAAAGTTTTTGGAAGAGTGTTTTTTTTCCAAGAGTGTTTTCATACTACATACTAGCTATTTTAATATTAACATAAAAAATCGCCGGGCAGTGGTGGTGCACACCTTTAATCCCAGCGCTTGGGAGGCAGAGGCAGGCGGATTTCTGAGTTCAAGAGTTTGAGGCTAGCCTGGTCTACAGAGTGAGTTCCAGGACAGCCAGGGCTACACAGAGAAACCCTGTCTTGAAACCCCCCCCCCAAAAAAAATCAAGTAATGTATGGAATTAATTTTAAAATATTTGAGACACTATTAAGCAGATAAAAACAAAAAAACAAAAACAAAAAAAAAAAACCTGCACCAGCCACATGATACTGGAATGGGCAAGGACTTGTTGAATAGAAAGAATAGCAGCACAGGATTTAACCCCAAGTATCAACAGATGGGACAACATGAATATAAATATTCTGTCCATCAAAGGGAATAATGAGCAGGGCACATGAACACCCAAAGAATGGGAGAAAATCTGTACCAGTAACACTCTGGATTACGGCTAATATCTAGAATTTACTAAGAATTGCAGAAACTAAACACCAAGGAAATAAAACTGTCAATCAACAAATGGGCAAATTACCTGAACAGATACTTTGAACAGAGAAAAACAAAAATGGTCCATAAATACTGAAAAACGACTATAAAATCTCTAAAATGCTGTCATGGAAATGCAAAGCAAAAGCACTTTGAAATAGTGCCTCACCCCAGGCAGACTGGCTGTCAATCAATCTGACAACAAATGTTAGAAAGGATGTGTAGAAAAAGATATGCTTATTCACTCTTTGGGTGTATGTGTATCTGTGTGTGTGGGGGGGAGTGATGTTTGAAAATTAATTCAGCCATTGTGAAAAATCAGTTTGGAGATTATTCAAATATTTAGAGATGCAATCATATTATGACCAGCTATTTCAATTCTATGGATATATCCAGCAAAGTTCACACCCTACTCAAGAGATATTTATACCACTTGCATACTGCTACCTTATTCACCATATGACAGAATTGGAATCAATCTAATTGTTAGTCCACAGATAGATGGATAATGAAAATGGACACATAAAATGAAATACTATTCTGCTAAAGAGAAAACTATAATAAAAATTAGCAAGAAAATGGTTGGACTTAGAATGTGTAATACTAAAGTGAGGTGATATGCAGAATCTAGCCAATAACATATCTATATGGAAACAATGTACATGGGCGCATAGCAGAACATGCAGAGAAGAAAACACGAAAAGTTTAAATATCAGGGATTCAGGTACAACTGAATGTAAGTAATGACCACCAGTTCTTCAAAAAAAAATCTAAAGCTAATTTCTTTTCTAGTTCTAATTCTGTCACATGTTTTAGTGGTGGATCAGTTCATAAAGATATATTTGATATTAAAGACGTAAAATCACACCCAAGGCCCCGGAGCTTCTTTCCCAATGACTACTATAACTGCACAAAAGTACATTGAGTTGTATTGTCTTCAGGTTAGTTAATTTCAGTAGGTGATTTTGTTTGTTTCTAATGTTTTATGATAAAGTTAAAAAAATTATCAAAAGCAGAAAATTAAAGGCTTGCAATGTCTCAAACTATAACACTTTTAGACAAAGAGTAGACATGAACACTGACCGGGGACATGTTTATTGAAGAATCAGCCATCTCTTGATGTTTCTCTTCTTTGATTTCCTATTTGAAGAACAATGAATAGCTGGTGAGTGGCCCTTTAATATCAAGAGATCAAACAGGAAAAGTAAAAGTAATACTCAATGCTATTAAAGCACAATGTCACACCACATGAAGAGATCCAAGCAACAGAATACTACCTGGTATCTGGTCAGTGATCCCAAAGGCAGGAGAGCATGGAAAAAGTGTGGAGAGAAAGCCATCATCAACCATCTATTGCATAAGGAAAATACTATCTCAAAATGGAGACATAAATATATTTGACTATAGTAACAAGTTAACACAATTGATTTATCATAGTAGCACTATTACAGGTTAAGTATATACAGAAGAATCAGAGGAATTATCTACCAGGTAAATGAAAATAGCCACTCATAGAAAAGAAAGCAAACTACTGATTCTCTCAAAGAAGGAAGAAGAATTCTACCAATATTCCAGCCAGGAAGAACAAAAGACAAAATCACAAAGCATAAAAAAAAAACCTATGAGCAAAACAAAACAAAACAACAACAAAACAAACAAACAAACAAACAAAAAACCTAACCCCTCTGGAAATCATTATAGAGGATCCTCAGTTAAACAAATCTTCAAGTTAAATAAATCTAGCACATGACCCAGGTCTTCTATTCCTTGGCATATGCTCAAAGAACTATACATCCTATTCCACAGACATGTGCTCACTCATGCTCATTACTGCTATATTCACAATAGCTACAAATTGAAACAACCTAAATATCTTTCAACTGACAAATGGATAGTGAAAATGTGGTACATATACACTATGAAATATTATATAGCTGTAATGAAAAGTGAACTCAGATGTTCAGATAAATGGATGGACCTAGAAATGATTATACTAAGTGAACTAAGCCAGGCCTAGAAAGACAGACATTGCATGTTCTCTCTCTCATAGAAAGTACCTAGCTCCAACCCTTCAGATGTGAGTTCGAAACCTGGAGTAACTACAGTAACCAGAAAAGTAAATGCAGATCACAGTGAGATGTGGGGAGGTAATAGACGACAATAGGGAAAAGTGATCCTAAAGTGAAAATGGACAAATAGGAGACAAATATAAACACAAAAGAAAATGGTAAAATAAGGATGTCTGAAAAGTAAGGAAGGAGGAGTCAAATAAACCAACTACAAAAAATGCCTACAATTCATGTCTGTATATACACATACATTTAGTATATATATGAAAGCTTCTCGTCTGGGTTGATAATGGTCCCTATAAGAGCCATAGATTTTTAAAAATAAAACTACTAATACCAAGCATGAGATGGCTTCTTTTAAATTGTTGGTCACAGCTATCCAAGAGATTTCCAAAACATTATAGGCTATTGATGTTGCCTTTGGTCCTCTCCCAGAAGTAGATAGTGAGGCCCTATTGTTAAAGATGCCATGCAATTCAGATATAGAACCCAGAGGTCTCAAAATAGATCTGACATTAAAGCATCCATCCTCCCTGGCAACTAGCTTCCATGATACTAGAAGGCAACATGTAAGCTTCCAAAGGAGAAAGCCAACCAACAGTGCTACCCAGCACTACACCCAGTGCTACACCTATGAACTACAACAATGATCTGCACTTCATGATAACCTAAGGATGCAAGAGTGGCACTCATACCTGGGCAGTAACCAACAGCTTCTAATTGGACCTAAGACCTCAACAAGTGGGAAATCACACTTACTTAGTACTGGAAACCTAGACAGTTTCCCGAGGGCTTATCAAGTCATAGATCTTGGAGAAGTTACAGCCAGTAATTTACTAAACTGGCATAATCCCAAACAACACTCTATATATTTATTGTAATTCCCATATATAAATGTTCCCCTCACCACTCATCAAGGAAAGATCTTTTTTTGGAACACATGGAGACTATACAGAAAATCATAATCAGTCAAAATGCAGAGTTGTAATGCTCAGCCACAACTTACACATAAAACACAAGTCCTGTATCTAAGGCTTAGGGATCACTGAAAAGAGGGCTGGACGAATGGGGAATAAGAGGAGGGGGGATGGTAGCAGAAGAGAATATTTTAAGAGTCAGAGGAACAGGATATTTGCTCTGAGATTGTGTCTCTTAGAAATGTCAGAAAAGCTACAGACTTAAAATCTTACAAACACAATTGTCTAAACATGAGCTGAACAAAGGCAACACCATCAGACATGCTAATATGGCAGGGAGAAAGATCATTAGACCTTAACCTTAGTCAAACACTAAAGAATTCTGAGAACTGGAGAAAAAGTCTTCCCCAGAGATAGTCCACCATGTGGCTATCCAATACATCACTGAAAACATACAAATTGAATAGACTGTATTTTTATGTTAAGGAATTCACACAAACATACAACACCAGCTAAAAGAAAAAATATTAAAAATAATAAATGCCTGTGTAAAGTGAAGATTTTTGCATTACCTACATAAAAACAATTAGAATGGTTTTATACCATTTTCTACTATTGCTACTCACATAAATAACACTTAAAATAGGATAGAGAGATAGCTCAACAGTTAGCAGTGCCTGTTGTTCTTGCTCTAAAAACCATTAAACATTACATCTAGAAGTATTAATTTTCATCGCTTTATAAAACATTAAAATTGCTAAAACAAAAACCATTTCTAAAGACATGATCAGTGATGTGCATGGAATAAGGACAGCATCACTCACATGTATAAAGTAAAAGTTTATTGCCTCCTAGTACCAATTCCTCTGTAGAAAGTCTTCACATCTCTACGATAGGATAATCCTGAGAAGATTTTTCTCAGTGTAAGTCTCCAGAAATATTTCTAGTGAAACAATGTGGCAAAACTGATTTCATGTCCCACTTCCACAGTCTCTTGAACCCCTTGCCATCCCTTCACCAATCCTCCAACATACCTGGGTCCTTAGCTACTGTCTCCTCCCTCTCCACCTTCCAGGTCTCTTTGTTGTGCTCCACAGGTGAGCAGGTCTGGGTGATCAGTGAGCCCTGCACATGAGAAAGAGATTCTTCAGAAAGCACTTGGATTCCTGGCACAGTACTGTGCTCAGTAGATAAAGAGAAACGAAATTGAAGACTCTTTAATGATTCCCCAAATGTCAGTGTGGAATTTCACTTAGTCTAACTTGAACCTCAATTCCAATCCACACTTCCACAGCTCCTTGAAAACTTATGGGTAGCAATTAAACTGAATGATTGGAATGAGAATATTATACACTAATGAAGTTCTGAATTTATGCCTCCTAAAGCAAGATACACAAAGAAGAGAGAATATTTCATAAATTTTTCTTTTCTGAAGATTTCATACTACTCTGAGATTTGAGACCCCTACACATACAGGTCATACACATGCAGATTAATTTTGTCAGGAATCCAGAGCAGGAGGAAGGGAAGGCAGCAAGTAACCTATTTTCACCCACAAAATCCAGTCTGATACAATTTTGCAACATCCAGTTTTTGTTGAAAGTCCTCCCGGTGGGGTTCTAACATCTCAGCCCATCCTGAGATCTTCCTGACTCAGTCTCCCCAGTGCTGGGATTAAAGGTAGATGCCACCAACCCTGGTGTATTTAAATCAGAATGCTGTATTTACATCACAGAGTGCATATGTCTCAGATGGAAAATTAAGGGTGTATTAAAAAGTTTTAGATATTAACGTGGAATTCACAAAAACATACTTTCAGATTCAATCCAATATACAGGCATTCCTATTGGTTAACATGCCAGTGGAAAATCACCCTGCCCTGGTTCTGCCCTAGAACTCTAAGACTGATGCAAGGGGAAAGGCTTATCCAATGGAGGCCTTGCTGATCTGAGGGCGAAGGTTTCTTAAATGCAAGTGTTACTACACCTACGAAAAGAAAGGTATCTAGGCAGTCTGGACCCAAGGAATATCTCAGTCACACTGCAAAACAAAACTCACACAAGAGAGTTGTTGAAAGCAAAAGCCAGAGTGACCACAAAGAACCTAGAATCAGCAAAGAACCTAGCAGGAGGCTGATTTACACAGGGTTCCTTGGGATGGGGGTGGGGCTTTCTAGTGTGGCCTGGAATTAGAGAGATTTTGTACCTTGATCATGAGCATTTTTTTTTTCCTTCAGGGCAGTGGCTTGGCCACTTTCTGACACAAGGGGCTGGAAAAGGCGGTTAGGGCCCTTAGGGAAGCCTCAGGGGTGGAGAGGAGAGGTGGGGGTGGAGTGGAGGATGGGAGGGGTGGCTAGCCATTCTTGTGCCTCCAGGGCATTGAAACCAGGAAAGCCCTCCATTACTCAGTGTTAACAGACTACAATGTTCCAGCTTTAATGACCAAGCATATCAGGACCACTGTTCTTTTCTAGTACTTCATTTCACATGCTCGAAAGACACTATAAACACCCACCCCTCCACCTAGCCTACCATCTCTCTTCCCTTTCAGAATAGCTGCCATAATGTTTATCCCCAATACATCTCTTGCACCAAGTTTGTTGTGTGGTATGACTTTGTTGTATTCCTTTTGCTCCTGACCGCAAAGATGCCCTTGCTCTCAAAAAATCCTTACAGTTCCTTTCATTACTGAGATCTAAAACCTCTCCAGGGGTGCCAAGTCCTCAGGTATAATAAAGAAGTTAGCGTGGACTAATGTAAATTGCAGGAGCGCTGTCCTATCATACCAAAGTAACTAGAACAAAACAAAAACAACCAAACCAAACAGTTTGCAAATATCAACAGATAAATTCAAGTACTCTACTAGAGTACTTTTATAAAAAAAAAATTTGACGCGAATCAATGAAAAAAAAATCAGTATTCATCAACTTAGTATGGTCTAACATTTATGGACAGGGTAAGACATGCACAGCAGAATTTTGAGAGCTGTCATCTTTATGAGTAGCAGAGGAAAAATCTCACCCCTGTCCGAATCCCGCCTTTCCCCAGCCCCTCAGTTCTTCTAATCTGGGAGGTTACGGCCCTCCCCCTCCCCCCGCCCCCCGGGCTGCGATTCCACCCGTTGGGCTGCTGACTGCTGACTCGCCCAGGATCTCCCAGGATGGCCTGCGCGGCACCTGAGGCTCAGGGGAGTTTCCGCTTCCCCTCGAAACCTCTGCCGTGTCCTCTCATCCCAGGTCTGCAGCACACGATTCCTCACGGCGAGTTCCTCAAGGAAGAGGTCCTTACCACTTTTGGTTTTGGCTCCTTAGTCAACTTACCTAGGCTCACTAAAGAACAGTCCCAGCTCTCACGTCACTTTTCTAACCCCCGCTCCACCCAACACACTTCCTCCACACCCATCTACTGTCCCCAACCTCTGTTTCCGGTGAGTGGCCCCACCCCCCACCCCACCGGAGACAGGTCCCTCCCCCTCAGTCTCAGGCTCCCTTCCACAGAGCTCCAGCGGTCAAGCTTCTCTGGAGACCGGCTCTACACAGACTCCTCACAAGTTTGCTGTCAGCGTAGACCAGAACTGGATCTGATAGGACGCTGCATCCCGATATCTGACCCCCGTACTGAGTTCTGAACCCTTTAAAAGATAGACAGCCTAACACTTCGACTTGACTACCAGCCTGTGAGTTACATACTTATCCCAAACAGTAACAGGCTAAATTCAGAAAGCCAGGGTCCTGTCCCTAACATACAAAAATGACAAGTCAAAACCAAATCCTGAAAATTTGACTTGGGGTGAGACATTTAAAGAACTCGGAATTTGAAAAGAAATAGTTGCCTCAAGAAATCAGTGAATTTAGCCCGAGCTGCATGGCATTCACCACTAGATGGTGGTCTTGCCATTTTCCTAACTCAGAGGCATTTGTCTTCTGTGACTTAAGATAAAAGTGCTTTGAGACAAAACAGACTTTACTAAACCAGCATAATCTAAACATTTTCTCTTCTGCCCACAGATAAGTGTAGTCTTCAGTCCTTATCAAGAAACCTCTCTACTACAGAGACCACTACAAAAAACCTACAGTAATCAAAATGCAGAACTGTGATCATTATGGGGTAGGTCATTATGAATGTTGTTTTATCTACACTGCCCATTATAATAACTACCTTGTCTCTGGGGATTCGATGCTGTCAACTGGCCCTTGCTACCTCAGGGCCCAATAAAACCCATTGCATTTAATTCATTCAATTGAGCAGCAGCATCTCCAACCCTAAGGTCTTTCACAAGAAAAAGGCCAAGAGCAAAACTCAAAAGGTGCTGGAGCCCCACTCACCAGTTATTGTCCAGAGATATTAAGAGCAACAAGCCAGCAAATTCAGTTTTCTTATTTTCCCCCAAAGTGTAGAAAACTTGATATACTGGGTCACCTAATTCATTGCCAGTCACAGCTGATGGATCAAGGTACTCAAAGGCATTTGTTTCTTTAAGTTTGAAATATAGTTTCCACCATAGACCTTCTATATTCTCTGAGCTCCCAGGAGACAGAGAGTCTAGAAAGATTTCAAGCAGTTGAAGGTTCTGGTGAATGTAGAAGGTGCTGGCAAATTATTAAACCAATTCCAGATTCTTAACACATTTATTCTTATACTTCTGCTCCTCTAGAACCAATCCTGGTACCAACTTCTGTTTTAGCTAGGATTCTCTAGAGTCACAGAACTTATGGGTCTCTCTCTGTCTCTCTCTCTGTCTCTCTGTCTCTCTCTCTCTCTCTGTTTCTCTCTCTCTCTCTCTCTCTCTCTCTCTCCCTCTCTCTCTCTCTCCATATATATATATATATATATATATATATATATATATATATATATATATTTACATATATATTTACATATATAAAGGAAATTTCTTGCAATGACTTACAGTCAGTAATCCAACTAATCCAATAGTGGGAAACTGCGAGTGAGAAGTCCAAGATTGCTCAGTCTCATGAAGCTACTTGTTTAAGCTGGTCTTCTGTGGGAGTAGGTTTCCAGAGATGTGCTGGCAAGTGGTTGAAGAAGAATAAATCTTCCTTCTTCCACAGGCCTTATGTTGGCCTCCAGCAGAAGGTGTGGCCCATATTAAAGGTGTGTCCTACCACGCCTGGATCTGGGACTTGCTTTGTCCCAGGCCTAGAACTCAGAGATCTACCTGTCTCAGTTTCCTGGAATTAAAGGTGGGTACTACCTTGGCTGGGACTAAGCTGTTCATGGCCACTATGCCTCGAGATCTCCATGTCAAGATCCAGGTCAAAAACCTGTCTTCTAGCTTGAAGATCTGAATCACAGGTTTGCCCTCCATTTCTGAATTGTAGTTCACTCCAGATGTAATCACGTTGACACCCAGAAATAACTATCACAGAGGCCAAACATGGCTCTAGGATGGAGAACTAGAGAATGAACTTTTGCAATTAGTCTAGATGTTCTAAAAAAAAAAAATGAATAAATGAGGGAAAACTACTCTGTGACCCAATTTGAGCACTGATATGTGATACTATTCTCATGGAAACAATGGCAATCATCTGCTTACCACAGATAAAGAATCAAAGAAAACCAAAGTTGGGAATCAATAAAGTTAACCAGGGAGATTTCTGTTAGGTTTCTTCTTTAGGGATGCTTTCTCTGCATGAATGTCTCTCCACCATGTGTGTTCCTGGTGCCTGCGGAGGCCAGCAGAGGCCATTGGATGCCTTGGAGTCGTTGTTATAGATTGACTGACCATATGAGGGTGCTGGGAATTCAAAGTGAGTCAAAGAACATTGTTGTTAATCACTAAGTCATCTCTAAATCCCAGTGGAGCAGTGAGTTTTACTGGGGTGACTTACAAGAGTGTGGGTGAGTGGTTACTGATAGAAGCATGAAGGACTGAATGACAACTGCATCCTCCTGTGAGGGTAAGGGCTGATGAAGCTGCAAACCTGGGGATCCCTGTACAGCTTGCAGGCAGCTCATCTGAGGTGGAAAGTGTGTCTTTCAAGTCACTTACTACCTCTTCCAGTCAGCTTGTCCTGTGTTGTCTGCTTCATGTCTCGTCTGAGTGTGTTCTGGGAAGCTCATCTTGTCTGACAGTATCAGTAGTCCTTATTAATTATATATGCTTGAGGCTGGAGGTTACTAGTGAATCTTGCTGGTTTCTGGGACTTCCTGAAACGATTAAGTCATCTATTTCTGAGTTTTAGGAGCTTCTTTGTAGGATGTATCATTTCAAGTCCTCTCATTAAATTGCTTTACCTCTCTTTTAATATCCCCTATTTTAAGGAGCTTCTGTTGGAAGATTTAGTCTCAGAGAATGTTGATATACAACATCCACTCCCGGGCATAACTTCCAAGGTCTTTCCATCATTATCGCTTGTCACTTGCCCTTCATGTTCTGAGAGACCAGATCTATTGAGTTCAGACTTCATCTTAGAAAACCTGGCCTAAGGTTAAACTCAAGTTAACTAACTGGTCGGTTCCTCCATCAATTTCCAGGTTACTCCCCAACAAAACCTGTTCTAACATCAGTTTCCAAATTACCCTCCAACAAGACTTGCATCTAACACCAGTTTCCAGTTCATTCCCCAACAAATCTACACCCCAGGTTACAAGCCTGCCCCTGGCACTTCACTTCCTCACAACTACCAATCAAAGAAACCACGAAAGTTAAGTTTATGTTTTGGCTCCCAACACCAGCCAGCTATGTGAAAGGCCATAATTGCCCCCCCATCAGATATGTATCAGGCTAGATACATCCTTCTTGCCTATATAAATACTTGCCTAAAACTAGGCTCAGGGCTCCACTTTCATGCTGTGTCAGGGTTGGTGGGGAACCCAAGCTGCAACTTAAATAGAAAACCTAATTTGATTACATCAAAATCGGCTCCTTGGTTTTGGTGTTTACAAGTGTTTCCTGGCATAACAGTTCATTGCTACTTTATTGACAGTATCTAGGAAATGGTAACAACATAGATATCCATCAGCTGACACATGGGTAAATGAAAATGTGTGTTCAAGCTTCAAACATTCCGTTTTGCATGTTCAGGTGAGACTACTTATTGAAGCCAAGAAGCTAGAACTGGATCATTAGTGGAGAGATGCAGGAAGAGAGGGTGGATAATAGAATACAGGTGATATGAAATTAGAGAGTGGAATACTGGGGGCAGAATGGTTCAAATATGTAGTGGAGTAGTGGTAAGGAGAGTGGCCTGCTGAAAGGTCAACTTGAGTGAGCTGTCCATGAATAAGCTACATGGGAACCTATCATTTTGAAACAGAATTAAACTGTACATTAAGAGGACAGTAGAACACATGTGCCATAAAAGAATGGGGCATTGGGTAATGTGTGCTACATATTTAACCTGGAATGGGGTCAAGAAGACAGGACTTGTAAGCGGGTTAACCAAACATAAAGACATATGAAGAAGCCTATGAAATCTTAACTATATTACCAGCTAGTGGGAAATATAATTATAAAACCCGTGAATACAGGTATCCCACATGGGTAAATGTCCCAGACACCATGGCCATGAAACGAAGCACTCTGTACCAGGTACTGGTCATTCACTTGTCAGGGAGGTTCTAGAAGCACTCCAAAGAAAAGAGATGCTCTTCCTTGATTAGCATAAGTACATGGTATTGCTGAAGTCACCTAACATTTTGGTTGCAAGGTAGAGAGAGAAATCTTGAATGTACAACAAAATTCTCCCTGCTGGATAGGCTTTGGAACACTGCAAGTTTTTGTGAGGGCTGCTGGTAGAGAAAAGTTGTCAGTGGTTTAGACCCTGCATCCTACAGTACCAAACTGCAAGCCAGTATGTGTGTACTTAATATGAGCCTCAGTCATTATGGGCATAACTAACCTCTTTCTTGTTGGATTTGAGGCCTGATCCATAGCAGGGAATTTATGCCTGGTACTCTAAACATAGTCTAAAAACATAGGTTAGGATGTCTAAGTCTAAGGGCAGAACCAATTGATGTTTTGTTAATGATCATGTTGTTCATCTTCCATCTAAATATTTGTGTTTGTAATTATTAATTACAAACTTCCTCTTGCAGTTGGTAGTAGGTAATGCAAAGACCCATAACTGTGCAGAAAGTACAAAGAACAAGCAATTGTGTAAGACTGGGGCAATTTCCATTTCATCATGGCTGAGGGAGGCTCTCACGATTCTCCTTTCCCTATATCATGGTCTACTGGAAATTTATAGCAGCTATATTATTTTAGAGTTTGGAGTATAGACTTTCATATTTTCCCCAGTATTTCAAAATGAATTCCC